AACTAGTTTTGGGGTTTTTTAAAGTGTTTTTGCTCCCTCAAAAAACCTTAGCGTACGGAAAAGAGAAGAAAAGTCCGTCTGGCGGGCTGTGGAAGGGTTTCAAAATTCTGAAAACTAGTTTTTTATAGGTTTCTCGATGAGCTCTACAATCGAGACAGATCAGAAAAAAGTTTTGGAACAAAAAGTTTCTGGCTCTGGAAACCTGGTTTCCCAGAAACTCGGTACTCGTAAGGCCTAGCGGCCCGTCTCATGCCGATATTCGGATTCAGCACTATTTTTTACCTATACTCCACTAGATTTCATTAAAAAAACGATTGGTCAGTTACATATGTTCCTTCGTGAGGAGAGGAGTAGGGGAGTCTGCAAATGATTACTTTTGTTTACGTAGAGGAGGGGAGGGGTTAGCCAAAGATTACATAATCGTTCCAGGTTTTTTTCTTGCGAAAGAAACTTGTTGGATGCCACATGATTTGTATTGGATACAAAATTCACCAGTGGAAATTACTGATGGCTTATATTTCAATGGCTGTACCTAAGGTGGTGATTGGACAAAAGTTAAATGTGAACTTCAGTGGTGTTGAAAACATAATTTAAATCAAAAATTAATCGAGAGAAGCGTAATAGGAGATGGCTAGTCGCTTTAGGAAAAACAAAAGCTTAAACTTTATCATTACTAATCAGTTAATATTGTGACTTTTAGATCAACTCATTTTCTTCATAATGCGGAATCACACTAATAATCATGAGAAATTCAACATGCTTATTTACGTGCACATCAAAAGAGGAATCGAAATGTAGGTGCATCTAGTTAAATGTTAGTATGGTGATGAACTTTGCTTATGCATATGTTTTAGCTTGCTTTTAAAGATTTAAATGTTGAATGGAATCAAAGTAAAAAAGATCCTGATTTAAGTAAAGGAAAAATTGCAGAATATCAATGTCATCGTAAGGTGAAAACACGCAATCTTGATCAGTTTTGGACTAATAGTAAACCAAAATGCTTTAAACCGGCTTATCATCCATACGACGAATGCCAGTCACAAATCCGTACGCAACCTTCGTCGTCTACCTCTTCAACATTAAATAAACTGAACATTGCGGATATCGATGAACCAAACGTAATCAATGAAAAAGAAAATGTATCTGTTCTAAAGTCGAAACATGCAGCACCTGTACAAGCAATGAGATTACGTGAACTTAATGATACTAATTCGCAAATTGTAAGCTTAACAACAGTATGTGAATTTGATTTAGCAACATCTGAAATCAATAAAAGCATAAAAAATCTTTTACAAATTCGTAAACAAAAAAATTATGAATTAAAACGTTTAGCAAGTGTAGCAAAAGCAGCCAAAAAGTGTCGACAGAAGAAAACCCGTTTATTAGCTAAAATTGCAGCTGAAAATCTATCAGTTGGGCAGAAAACATTCAGAGAAGACTGGACGTCCACCCGTTGAAGCTGAGCATCATGATCTCTTATCCGTAATTGAAGAAATAGCGACAATAAGAGCAGCAGCAGACGAAAATAGACTAACAGAAACGATACGACTATGTTTGACACTAGATGATCTTGTTGAAAAACTAAAAGAACGTGGACTAGAAATACATCGTTCTACTTTATATTATCGGTACGTTTGTCTTTCTGACCTTAACTACATTCGTCACAAGGTCTGTCTTTCTTTTATACTTTTACCACATGGTGCATTATCTAATGATGGAAAAAGACATATTCGAACCGTTAATGTACGTTTAAAAAAATCTCAGAACGATAAACACAGTAAACATGAAGATGATCATTTTGCAGCTGCTGGCATACGTTTTGTTAAAGACATAGCTGGTCGATTTGGGAACAGTTCTGTGAACGAATGTTGTCGAGAATCGTTCTTCACCTCGTGCTCCTTCATCAAACGATTTAAATGATGAAATAATCATCTATAATATTTTAGATTATTTGCGGTCTGATTTCGAAGAAGTTCTGTATGTAATATGCAGTGTTTTCTTTATGACAAAAAGATGATTTATTTGCGCGCTCGTTTTTATTCTTTGTGTGTTTTTCTTGTCGTTTCCGTAGGCTTCTCATTTTCGGTACAGGAAAATTTCTCATCTTTACTTTTTTCTTGTGAGCGAAAGATCTGTTGTTTTTTGGTGCTCTTTTCCTTTTTGAAAGGAGAAGAACTCATTTACATATGCGTTGCATCATCTCTTCTGTTTGATGGTCTCGGCTTCTGCTATGCTCTGTCGCATCGCACATGTAGTCCATTGTCGTCACACGCCGGTGGCTCGTTGCATCATTCTCTGCTTTGTTCTGTTGCAACTCATATATACTCCACCATTGTCTTATTTCATACGTGCTATATATAGTGGCGATTTCTTTGCATAAATCACTACGCTACAGCCACCGTCCTCCATTTAATCTTCCCAGTTAGTCACGCTCTCGCTAGGTGCATCCGCTCACAATAGATCATTCACTATCACACACAACTTTGACTGATCATGCCGGAAAGTAACGAATTCTCAGTTGATCAAAAGACGATTTTCTTCTGTGTCATCGACTTCGTTGAACGCGAGAAGGAGGGCTCGATTATTTCACTAAACAACATAATGGCTCGACTTACTATCATACTCGGAATTAGCGAAACCTTGCTTGGCAATTTGAAACGGGAACTAGCCGAGCAGGGGCAACAGCATCAACAGCAGATAGAAAATGAGGCTACGCGCCCGCGCCGTAGAACGACGTCTGAAAGGGTATCCGCGAAAGACCATCGCAAGCGACGATATTCGGAAGTGGCTTAGAAAATTCTTGTTGATATCCCATCTCCCGTGCCGCCGATGAAGATTAGAAAATCGGAACGTCCGACTGCGTTCCTCAGCGAGCTAGCCGAAGACACGATTCGATATCACGTTCATCTTCTTCTCGCCGAAAAGAAATATCCGATGATTGCCACTTTGCTTGCGTATATTCACGATGAACATCCTGACTTTCCAGTCCAATCTGAGACGAGTCTGTGGCGCCATTTGAGAAGCCTTGGCTTTGTCTACCAACGGACAAGTAAGGTGGCCGTGCCTCTTGAAGGGATATCGTTTGTTGCGCAACGAGCCGCCTACTTTCGCCACATTGATGATCTGCGCGAGGACGGTGCTCATCTCTACTATCACGATGAGACTTGATGCAACGTTGGCGAAGCGAAACACTCTATTTGGCTTGACGAACAAGGTAAGGGGCCACTTCGAAAAGGCGGTGGCAAGGGAAAGCGATTGGCTATTTCGGCTATGATTGACGAGAGTGCATTTCACAAAGAATCGGTCGACATATTTACTTGCGACACCGATCATTCGATGAATTCGGAACACTTTGTCGATTGGATTGATATGGCTGCCTCGCATCTCCGTTTCATTCACGACCCCACCTCCCGTGTCGCGATCATCATTGACAGTGCCATTTGGCACAATGAGCTCACGGACGAATCCAAACCACCTAAGCATTTATGGCGCAAGGATCAGCTACAGTAATGGCTCAAGCACCACAATGTTAAGTACGACGCAAAACAGATGCAATGTTTTGTTTCGTGCTGTAGATATATGTGTACAAGACGGTAACGATAAGAACTTTCTTCAAATTAGGTAAAATGTCTAACAAAGTTGAGTTTTTTTATGCTATTTATTTTGCGAATATCATCGTTATTTTTCAATGTCTTAAATACATGTACAAAACAGATTTCAGCTGACAGTACTTTCCTAAATTAAAAAGCCTTTATAAAAAGAACAGATTTTTGTTCTCGCCGGCACCGAATTCTTTATGCGTAGTTATTCTGTGTTGCGCTTCATCATGTGTGGCAAAAAGTTACTACTGATAAGTTGCACTTGAAGAAGAAGAGAAAGAACGGTCTTTTGACAACTAACGAAGGGCAAATCCAGTACCCAAGTCTATATACCCAAGTGACTTGGGTTTGTAACATACCTGATCAACACGGGGTAATGTGCAGTGAAGGTTTAATATAAAACTTTTTTTTTCGTTCATTATGTTTTGTTATACGTTAGCTACGCGCATAACTTGACTCAGATATAGAGGTGAGATGGTGTTCGTAAGAAACCATTCACACATTTGGGCAGAACGTAGATGTCTTTTGTTTTCTGGGTCAGAATAATTTGCCTGGCAACTCTGCCGCTGGATGATGACTAGTTGAAACTTTTTTTTAGAATCAAACGATATTTAGAAATAAAATAAAATAATCTTGATTTTAACTTAAACTAAATCTTATGGTTAAAGAAAAACAGAAAAAGTGAGCATTGATAGTGACAAAGATGTCGTTAGTAGCCAGATAAACAACTTGCCCGGTACACACCCTTTCAAATGCTCGATTTATTGTAAGATTAGGTCAGTGGAAGAATTGGACTTATCGAACATACTTTTTGAAGCTATTCGGTCTAAAGCACACCGATGAAATTTGTGGCTATGTCTGTCCTATCTAACAATATTTCAATCAATGACTTACTCAAGCGTTTTAGCTATATTTTTCCAAAACTGTAAAACAAATAAGAATACGCAAGTAGAGATATTAGCCGACCTCAGGCTTAACCGTACGAAATTAGTACAAACCCTTACTCTTATGTAGTTGTAAACCCTCTTCCTTTTTTTGTCCAATGATCGTTTGATCATCCGACAACGGATACTCATTTGGCTCAATCTTCTCGTTAGGAAAGAAGAATTAGTTTGCATTTATGTTTTGCTTGGATCGGATTTAACAGACACATTAGCTTTAGCTTTTAACTTATCTTTTGAAACAGATTAACGTTCGATCAAAGTAACGCTATATATCTGCACTTTATTTAGTGCTGCTGTTTCCTTTGTTTTAGCATAAATGTTTGCTCGCGAGTATACCTGTTCGGCTTGTTCGTTTTCTACTATATGATTTAAATATGTTTCTTAGACTAAGTCAGTAGCAGCAAATGATATACCATAAATACCTGCATCGTATGCAGTTGCCAAAGATGACGAAAGATCAGATTACTTACGATCAAGATCTTGGGACGACAGTGGCTGGAGACGCCTTGTTGTTAAATGTTACTTCCAAATAACTGTAAATTTATACTGATTTCAGTCTAACAATGCGCAACAACACGTTCTTTTTAAGGATTGTGATGCCTCTCTCTCAAAATTAGCTGACACAATACAATCTTCACCTCTAAAATAACAATCATGCCACGGTCCACCTTCGATTCAGTCACAGTGGCTAAATGTAAAGAGATAGCATTAAGAAATAGCTTTTCAGTTGTTGACGATGATTGTCTTCCCTTGACACAGCATACGCAGCAAGGGGGAAAAAGCGAGTCTGGGATTCCGCGTGGATCCGCAAAGATCCCCATGGATCCCTAAATATCCGAAAGTTGTGCTAAGAGCACAAAAGCCTTTTATAAACCTATTATACGTTTTAAACAGATAAGCAGGGCGAAACGAATACTTCGCTCCGCGAACCCATTGCAATGTATTTTTCGTACTTTTCTCAGAATGAAACAAGTTGGAAGGAAAGTCTTATATACCATTCGATGCTGCTTTAAACGGCGAAAAAAACTGTCTATTACTTAATTGTTATGTACTCCGGGGGGGGGGGGGGGGGGGGGAATTGACAATTGCCCCGGGATATCTCCAGCCGGGGGGGGTGGCATTTTTTGGGTGGGCCGAGGGGCCCGCCCCCCCCGAGAACAATTG